GCGCTAATAAAACTCCTAACATTATTTTAATTTCAGTGAAAATTAATTTTTTACGAGTCAGCTTAAGCATATTTAATCTACGACTAATGTCGCTCGAATCATAACTGAAAGGGCCTTAAATTGATATATCACTCAAACCACTCCAATTTTTATTTGTGGTACCTGATTTTTTGTAGAAAACAGGGAAAATAAGAAAAAAAATTTAAACACCCGATTACAAAGTTCCTCCCCATTTTCAATGGTCGGAACAAAAAACTAAGAACAAACCGCTAAACTTATATAAAAGACCTGGAAAAAATTTATACTTGATTTTAAAATTTTTTTCTTAATTTTTCTCAATTTAGAATTTCTTAACAGACAATTTTGGAATGAAAAGCTTCGAAATTCAAAATTTTTTTTGTTAAAATTACTGGAAAAAAAATTGGATAAAATTTTTTTCTCATCATTTTTCGGTTAACAATCCGCCTGTTTTACTATGAGCATCAACTAAGGCTGAGTTTTAGGTTTTCGCTCAGATCCTTCTATCTCACCATGCACAAAAATGACGCCAAGTGAAAAAAAAACAGGAATGTTTTCCTTTGTAGTTTTTAACGAGTATTCTAGGAATATTCTGTGCTATTTGCTTTTGTTTTAGACTTTTGCTATTTTTTAGTTTTAAAATTTTAAGACATGTGAGAATTGAAACTCGTCGGTACTAACACTCACACAAGAGAGAAAAACGGAAAAACTGAAGTTTTTGTTAGAGCGAGCATTAGATGCACTACGGATTTTTAAAAACTCAACGCTCAAAATCACCCCTTCGAAGTGCTACTTCGTAGATTGCGATTCGCGATTCTCATCTTAAGTACCATAGTGAAAAAACGAATGCCCAAAATCTTGACTGCTCAAATTTTCTACAACAAAAATTTAAATGCTTAAATACCAATGAAACGCAAACCGAATGCTTACCTATTCAGCTGATTCGAGCTGGGAGAAAATTCTATACTGAGTTTAATCCGAAAAAAAAACACATCAGAGTAATCGCCAACAAGCAAACGCTGAATCATGCTGTTTTTAGATGTTTTTTTTTTAATGGGAATGAATTAATGGGCAAGTTTTTTTTTAATAAGGGGCATGTAAGAACTGCATGAGATGTATTTCATATTAATCACAAATATTTTAAACTTCGAGTAAATCCTAATTTATGCTCAATTTCAGTCTAATCGTGTTAAGTGTCAACAAATTGCACTGGAAAAAACTGACGAACTTTTTTTGTCGTTGGGAGAATTTTTTTGACATTTTTGCCAGATAACATTTTTTATTTCCACTAAACAATATCTTCAGAATTCTCAACCAAATACAGGACAATCGGAGCATTAAGAACTTGATACGAGAAGTCTTGGACTTAATATCTGAAGCGATAAGAAAAGTACAACGAGTTGTACATCATTGTATTTATAAAACTGATTCAACAATACAGAATCACATTTTGAATGTTTTTGTCTGAACTTTTTTCTTTGTTTTATTTCTCAATTTTAAAAGTGTCACTGGCGTTTTTTTCCTATTTCTGTTCTCCAAGGGTCAAAACAGTTCATCACTTGTTCTTTTCTACTCGTTTGAAATCGGGATAGATGACGAGGATGGCCACTCCCACCGAGTAGAGAATGACTGTGATGCCGAGGAAGTTGCCCATCACAGCGTACGAGGGCAGTCTCCCGTACTCAGCCGCACCCATGAATATCAACTTCTCCGTTATTCCTACAAGTGAAATGAATGCCAGTAAGCTAACAAATACGGGCTCCCCCACCAGCGAAATTTTACTAGTCAAATTTTGTTCAGATTATCAGATTGTTACAAAAAGTGGCAGGTGGACTAATTAGGCTATTACAAACAAATTTGGTCTTTTTACTTAACCTTGTAAAACCCCTCGTTACAACATAAAATTGATGCATGTGTGAGGTGAGGGGAAAAGGAAAAAGAGCCCAAATACGACCCATTTTAGTCAAAACTCAAAAAAAAATGTTGGGTTCTTTTCCGTCTTTTTCTCATAGCGATCTAGCCCCAAGGCAAAAACTGTAGCCCCAGCACAGCTTTTTTTCATATTTTTTGAAATTTATTTCGTTTTTTGGCCACCACTTGTTAAAATTTTGACTCTTTTCCAATCTTTGCCCCATATTTAAATTTCAGGCTCTTTTCCAGTTCTCCTCTCTCAAATTCAATTTTGAAAAGTCTATTTAACGTTGTCATCATGCAATGAAATTTGGCGTGGTGAACAAATTGACAACTGTGAACAGATTTGTTCTTCATACTTTACAGCGTAATATCACATATTTAGCCGAAATAACACGTAAAACAAACCTAAAACTCGGTATTTTGAAAGGGGGGAGAAACTGGAAAAGAGCTAAAGTTCAATACTGAAAAACTTTTAAGGTTCTGATAATGCAACGAATTTTTGCCGAACTTGCTGACGCTGCACGATGTACCTGATATTATTGCCACCACCGCCATCGCAAAGTTAGCAGTGCCTACAAATCTATGAATGGGCATCAGATACGCCTTGAAGTACACGGGCACTATCGGAGTCAGAAACGCCACTGTGCCGATGATAATTTGGACGAAAAACATGGCTATACTCGCAATTCCTGCCCAACTGTGTAAACTGTACATGTTCGGCAATTTGGCCCTGTTATGCTGATCGACCACTGCAATTAGTGCAACAATAATACAAACTGCGCTGATCAGGTGGATGACGGTGTGAATAATTTTCAAGGTCATTTTGTTGAGAAAGTGAAAAATTCTGAATACAATGATTGAGTTTCCGAATAAGAACGAGAAAGCGATGACCATCAGAACTGGATGCCAGTTGAATTGACTCTTCGTTCCGTCCCAGGCGAACCCGCCTTGGATATTTTCCAGTTATTATCTCCATCTAGAGGCCTACTTCACAATTGTAAATTAAGAATGTCTCCAAAATTTAGGAATCTTAATAGGGTGTGCAACTTGGCTCTTTTCCAGTTTCCCACCCCCTCGTACAGTTACAAAAAAGCTGTTCAAAAATTGCTCACACGGCATTTTGCAAGAAAGAAATGTGAGTTAGGACTGGAGTGTATAACTCATAGAGTAATTTCGGATAGGGTACACCGTCTGCTCGTCACGCTATCTTATTTTCGGCCGGATAGATTCGTGCAACTTCTTAGTCTAATACCGATCCTAATCTTACTCTTATACTATCTAGTCTCAGGTTGTTTAACTAGTCTCTGCTAGGCTCAATAGATCTAGGGTATACTGGTTTATTGCGGCTGCTGAAGTGCTCGGGAGAGTCCAACTAATTTCTAAGTTAAATTCAAATCTCTCTGGTGCTGAAATTACAAGTAACTTCAGCACTTACAAATAAGTGGGTTGTTAGTTAGATGGATCATGATTGGTTAATATTAAATACTTTACATTGGTAAAAAATCTAATTTATCCAATCATAAAATGTAGTTTAGATCAGGTTCCACCCATCCGGGTTTTACAGAGTTTTTTAGAATAGTTCTTCTGCGATTCGAAGGATGGATGATGGACGTTGGTTTTTGGCGAACATCATTTTCTTCCGTTTCCTCTTTGTTAAAGAAGTTCCAGGAAGCTGGAGTTAGAGACATAAGACGTTGTGTCTTCTAGTGACAACGACTAAGTCTTTGCAACAAACTCAAATCTGATTTCAGAATGGTTGGCTATGTCAGGTTTTTCTGTTCTGCGTGGAGAACTTCTTTTGTGTCTGATCTAGTTTGGGAATGGCGTGGAGATTGTGCGTGGAGGGGATGCCTGGTTACTCGGATCTGTACGTATACTTGAACATCGAGGTGGTCATTGGTCTAGTTCAATGAAGTCCTTTTCTGCGAAGTCAAGTCGTACTCTAAATCCTTTGAGTTGTGATTGTGAGTGGCATATCGATTGTGGTTGGCCATTCTCTCTCGAGTGTGGTGGGGTCGTTTTGTCTTTAGATGTTCGTCCTTGGTGTTATATTCTGATCTATGTATTGCATAATGTAATTTACATTTTATAAAGCATTTATTAGTTTAATATTTTTTAATTATGATTTTAGTTAGTTGTTTTCACAAAAGCTTTTTGTTTTAGTTCGGTTATTTTGAAGAGTTACTCACCCTTGAGTAGCTCTTATTAAAAATAGAGGTGTGGTCACAAAGCGTGGATGTAGCGCGGTGGGTTAGGCCGGCTATAGAGCATGCTCAGGACGTCCTTCCTGGTGGGTTAGGCCAGGAGTGGGAGTATGATTTCATGCGGTTTTTATGAGGGGTCCTGTTATGTGACAACGTTTTATGTTGGGTTTGTTGTGGTTTTTCTTATGTCTTGTTGGTTATGTCCTTTTTCCAAAAAGCAAATTGTTCGTGGTATGGGTTTGTCTTTCGACTTTTTTGTGTTTTATTATTTCTTTCTTAGACTTTATAATAGTCTTCAAAAGAATAAATTATCCAGTTTTAAACTGGGTTAATCCGGTTTGGGTACCGTTGGTTTCCTTTTCTTAGTCATGCTGTTATTCTATGATTTGTGGTATTTAGTAAGCTGCGTTGGTTAGTTTTGTTTAGTATATGATTCCTTTCCAACCGGGTTAAAGGAAGGTTTGAAACATGTTATTATATGTTAGAGTTGTTGAGTGTGAAAACTTGAAACTGATATTCATTATTTTAAGCAATTCTTCGTGGGCGAGCTGTGCGAGTGTGGATAGAATTTCTGTGCGAATGAATGAGAATATCAAAAGGTTAGTACTGCATTTGCATTTTATTAATTTACTGCATAGAATTTGGAAATTTACTGCTAGTTATGGGGGAATTTTTAAGTTACAAATTTTCATCATAATTAGATTTACTGCTTGTGGGGAAAATTTTAGAAATAAATTTACTGCATTGGTATTAAATTTATAAATTTATAAGTGTAAGAGATTAATAGAATTTTTGAAATCTGTTTGATGAAATTTGCGATTTTTATTTGTCTTTTGTGGTTTTTGTAGGTGATTGTCGGATGAAGGCTAAAAATCTAAAGAAAACATGGATAAAGTATGGTGAGTTTTTTAATATTTTAATTAGTTAGTAATATTCATTTAATTCATACTTACCTGTTAGTCGTCGGGGAAAAAACCGTGGGGGAAGATGTCGTGGATGAGATCGGAATTTGTTAGTAGTTTAGCTAAGATGCGGATGATATTTTTAGTCTGAAGCAGTGGCCAAAGCAATTGAAGTGCCTTAATAGTGGTTAGTTCTTCAGTGCCAACTGCAAACTCATAAGGTGTGTTTTGGATTAGATTATATAATTTGTGATTGAATTTAGTGTTGTGGATGAATTCTAAAATTGGGATTTCTATAGGTTGTACAAACTCGTGCGGGATAAGGAAGGGTCGGGATTCTTCGGCGTTGAAGGTCTTGGTGATGGGACAGAAGATGTACATTTGGGTTATGGGATCATAATTGCGAAGAATACCATGAAGGTTAGTATCTTTAATGCAATATGTGAAATTTAGGAAAACTGGTGAAGTGTATTTGGAATTAATGAATTGAAAACGATGGTGTGGTTGTCTAGAGGGTGTGTGTAGGTCAAAGTGATTTTGGATGAAGCGATAATAACTATATGTGTGGGTTTGTTTAGTGCGCAACATAATATCGTGTGAGCAGTGTAAATCTCTTTCGTGTGGTGCAAGGAAATGTAAGGTTAGTGAAAATATTTGGAAGCGTTCTTTAAAACTTTCGTATGCTTGTGTGTCTGTTAGTGCTTCTGAAATAATGTGATCAAACTTTCGGTCGAAGATGTTTAGTGTAAATATATATGGTGTCTTGATGAAAAATTTCTCGGTAATTTGTGGATTAGCGAAGCGATCGTCGTCTAAGAATTGATCTTGGTTAGCTCTGATGATGTTGTGATCATAGTATTCGAGTGTATATTCGTTAGCTCTAGGTGCAGTGTGTGTTTTTAGTGATTTTTTATATCCAACGTAAGTAAATTGTCTAGCGGTTAGTGGTGTAGTGAGTCGATATAGCATGTCCGTATTTCGCTCTATATCGATGTGAGTGTTAGATAAAGGTAAGCAAAGAGGGTTAGTAAAATGATAATATGAGGTCCAAGAGAGAGTGGGCATTAAAACGTATTCATCTACAAAGTTGCGTGTTTCGTTAGTGTCGTGGGGGGTGTTTAAGGTGTATTGTGGGAATGAGGGTAAGGTGATGGCTAAAAATTCTTTTGTGTTAGTATGCTTGGGGTGGTTGATGTATTCACGGGCTGTTCCTGGTTTTGCTGGGAAAGGATGGTTGGGGAACTTTCTTTTAAAAGTGCGGTAAGCTCTATTAGTGTTGAGTGAAGATTCAGTTGATGTGGATGATGGTGCTAATGATTCAGTATAATTTGAAGAGGGTGTAGGGGTAGGGGGGTTGGATGAATTTATTGTGGAGGAGATTTGGTTTATTGTTGGGGTATGGAGGTGGTAGGGTTGTTGTTGAAGGGTAATAAAATTATCTAGCTCTGGGGAGATTCGGGGGGTGTCTGGAGAATGAGATGATTGGTCAGAATGAAATGAGGAGTAGGTTGGGGTAACTTGGGAAGCATAAGAGGGTGTGGAAGTGATTGGGTCAGGGTTATTGGATAATATGGGTTGAAAAGGGGGTTGAGAAAAATTAGAAGAGTTATGAAAATTATTGGATGGGGATGGTTCTGAGTCGGCAAATTCATCGGGGGTTTCAATATTCGGGTTATTGAGTTGTGAGATGGAATATAAAACTGAGATGTGTGAATTAGTGTCGGAATTCATGCCTGATGTTACATTACTAGATGGAAAATCGGGTGGCGGAAAAGCAAAAAGTGGTATTATTGGGATTGGAGAGGTAAGATTGGTTGGGTGGGAATTTGATCGGTGTAGTGATCCAAGTTGGCGGCTCATCGTGGGCTAAAAAAATGATTATTTTGAGACTCAAAAGCGGTGGTATGGGGTTGTTCAATAATTTGTTCATAAGTATTATGATCTTGTGACTGGTGTGTCATTATATGTTGGATGGGACTTTGTGATGTGGTGAGTCGAAAATTTGGATTATGTGTGATGGCTAAATTTCGAAAATTTCGTGGGACTAGGGATAGTGGATGGTTATTTGGTAGGGGTGGTAATTGTGGTGCCGTTGGCGTTATGTCTACATTGTTATGTTCTTCGTCGTATGTATTTTGTCGTGTTGCTATTTTTGTGTTATATTCTTTTATTTGTGCGTCTAAAAGAATTTTGTTTATAGATGTAGAAAAGATTCCAAAAAATCCTGCAAAGAGTATGCGTGCTACGCTTGCTTGTCTGTTTACTTGTGTGTGTATAGCACATGTGTTGTAGATTCCTTTTAAAAGTGAGAAAAGAAATCCAATAAAGTTAAACATTGCGTATAAAATAGTCAATTTTTCTAAGATGTAGTAGGGCCATCCTAGAAAATCGAGGATCTCATTTTTGAGTGTAACAAAGCTAAAAATGTTAATTGGTGATATATCTTGGGGACGGTATTTTTCACCGTTTAGATATATATAATCTTTAATGTCTTTAAAATATCCGCTATAGTCTTGCGTGTAGATATCGGCAAATCCTGCGGTTTCCGCAAGTTTGCGTAAATTTTGGTCTATTGATTGTCTTTGTATAGTGTCCATTTGTGTTAATAATTCTTGGAATTGTTGTGTTCTAATGTGATGTTGAATATCTGATTTTGAATAGATTCCTATTGATTGTAAGTCTATATTTGGGTTTCGAGCAATAGCGCGAATGCTTT